TAAATGTCCAGAGCCCCTGGACCCTGTCCTGAGGTGTCTCCTCTGTTGGGGCTCTATCTCATAGGTCATTTCATCCAGTCATGGCTCTAAGTGCACACGGACACTGATAAGTATGTCTCCAGCTCAGAACTCTCTCTTAAAATCCAGATTCGTATGTCCAGCCACACTGCACTCTTTACGTTGAAGCCAGAGGCATCCAAACTGTGATGTGATCCTGGTCTCTATCTCCCTTACCACTTGGTTCACTCAGTTCCACCCGCTACCCTCACTGCTGCTCCTCAAACACAAGCTTGCTCTCGCCTTGCTGTTCCCTCTGCTTGTAAAACTGGCAGATATGCACACAACCGGTTTCTCCATTCAGGTCTCTCATCAAAAGCCACCTCTTTAGGGGGTCCTGGGTGGCTCAGTCGGTTAAACGTCCAACTTTGGCTCAGGTCATGATCTCACGGCTTGTGAGATCGAGCCCTGTGTCAGGCTCTGTGCTGACAGCTCAGAGCCTGGAGCCTGCTTCAGATTCTGTGTCTCCCTCCCTCTCTCCCCCTTTCCCACTCGCTCGTGCGTGCTGGCTCTCTCTCTCTCTCAAAACTAAATAAACATTAAAAATTTTAAAAAAAAGTCACCTCCTTAGATGGAGCTCTTATCTGAAAAATCACCCTTTGCCAATAGCTATGCCTTTATCCTGCTTTATTTTTCTTCACAGCAGTTATCCCAACTGGGCACTCTTTTCTTTAAAAAAAGAAACAAACCTTTTTTTTTAACCTTTATTCACGTTTGAGAGACAGAGCACAAGTGGAGCAGGGGCAGAGAGAGAGGGAGGTACAGAATCTGAAGCAGACTCCAGGCTCTGAGCTGTCAGCACAAAGCCCGACACAGGGCTCAAACCCATGAACTGTGAGATCATGACCTAAACTGAAGTTAGACACTCAACTGACTGAGCCACCCAGGCGCCCCTGGACATTATTTTCTTTATATGTTCCTTTACGTATTACCAGAATATCTCTACTAGCATGTTAAGTTCTACTTCGGCAAAGACTTTCTTACATTTACTGCTATATCTTAAGAGCCTAAAACCTGCTTGCCCAGAATAGGTGTGCTCAATAATTAGTTGGAGATTAATTAGAAAATTGAATTTAAATGTATGCCGAGGAAATTTAGAAGACGTTGTGAAAACAGAAATACCAAGAGTTCATGACATGGCAAAATATAAGATAAATAAGGAAAATCCAATTAAGTATTCTGTTTATAGCAAAAACAAATTAGAAAATAAAAATACAGAAGACCTCTCATACACAATAGCCATAAATTCCACAGCACACATAGTGATAACTTAATGTAAATATTGAGAAATGTAAAATTTAAGAAGATCTGAACAGAGGAAGAGATCAACTTCATGGTTAGGAAAACAAAATACCATGAAGTTACACCACCATTCCAAATTATTTTAAAGACTTAATGAAACTAACGAAATCACAGTGGGATTTTACATAAGAAGCTAAAAAATAACTCTAAAGCTCTCTCAAGAAAGTATGAATAAATGGAGTTTTGAAAAATTGCAATATTAATAATGAATGTTTACACCTACTCAGAAAGTAAATTGTTTTTTGGTGAGCAATTTGGTAACAAATATTAAAAGTTTTAAAATTTGGGATTTATTCCTAAATTTTATTCTGCAGGAGTTAAGGATGCTCACAGAGCCACAAAGAGCACTGTTTATAAAACCAAAGTAACCTACATAGCCAAAATAAACAATTGGTTTTATATATTAAGGTATGTCAACACCAAAAAATACTATGTAGCTATTAAAGTTGCAGCTGTAGAATGTGGGAGCTTGGTTAAAATGGAAGGATTAACTACATCAAAGTACTCTTCCATAAGCCCACAAAACCGACCACAAAGAAATCGAAGATATAAGTGTATAATGGCAAAATAAATGAGAGCGAGATCTTGAGTTTGGTATTTCAACAAGATCTGGAAGCTGGAAAAAAGAGGTAACTGTCTTAGACTAGATGAAGTTTGAGAAAACCAGAGAAAGCAAGACGGTTTGACTCTCAGAATCCCTAAGTGGCTCAGGACTGGGGAACAGCGAGCACCACGGAAAGTGAGGGGGAAGCACAGGTGTGAAAGCAGGAGGACCCGTAGGGAGGACACACACGCAGTGAGTCCCCAAGCCCCTCCCCTAAGCCAGAAGGGGGCCACCGGCACCTCCTCCCACACTCAGAGAGGGGGGGCCTGGACCAGGTATGGGTCCGGCCGGGCAGGAGGGGACACCGAAACAGGGTCAGTAAGGGGAAGTGTCCACACTAAAGGACAGGCCAGAAACCAGGCACGTCCTGCTCAAGCAAGAGATCAGAAGAGTGCTCTGACGGAAACAAATCCTGCTGGGAAGAGACCTGCAGACAGGAGGATGAGAAAGGTGATGGGCGCAATGAGGAGTGAAGAAAGAGCTCGGGTCACAGAGGCAGACTGCCTGAGCTCCAGCCCCGGTTTCATGGCGGCTCCACCACTTATGTGCTTAACCTCTTGGGAAACCATGGTTTCCTCATCTGAACACAGAGACGATGATGCCTACCTCGTGGTGCTGCTGTGAGCATTCACTGTTTTTTTTTTCAACGTTTTTTTATTTATTTTTGGGACAGAGAGAGACAGCATGAACGGGGGAGGGGCAGAGAGAGAGGGAGACACAGAATCGGAAACAGGCTCCAGGCTCCGAGCCACCAGCCCAGAGCCCGACGCGGGGCTCGAACTCACGGACCGCGAGATTGTGACCTGGCTGAAGTCGGATGCTTAACCGACTGCGCCACTCAGGCGCCCCGAGCATTCACTGTTTTAAGGCATGTAAAAGTCCAGTCAATCCCTCCTCCCTCTCCATAGGAGAATTTTCCCTCCACACCCACTGCCACTGCCCTGGCGCTGCAGCCCTCTCCGCAGCTGGGGTATGCGTCCCAGCCCCGCTGTCAGGCCTGGCCATGTGTCTAGCTGTGGCCAACGGAATGGGAGTCCACTGAAGCGCACTGTATCTAAGCAGAAGCTTTTCAAAAGCCGTGCATGTTCTCGCAAGCCCTCTCCTTTCCCCTCTGCCATGAGAAATGCCCGTCCCAGATAGCGGCTCCTTCAGCCTGGGGTCACGGAATGAGAAGCCCGTTTTAGAAAACAGCTGTAGCAACAGACCTACAGTCACCTTCAGCTGCCCACCTGCAGCTGGGGGTTGTTTGTTACTGTAAGGTCAACAAACTAGAGACAACTCCCTTTTGAAGTTCTCGAAACTTATATTTTAGAAATATCTGGTGAGTGAATCTTTAACAGCATTCTTTATCCAAGGAATGTATTTGATCTGAATTCAGGCAGTTGAGAACTGTACCATTTGTGATATCGTGATATCTAAATGTCAGGGCTCTATGACCAGTTAATGAAGGGAGAGAACTTAGGTTAACCGATCACTTATTATGGTACACGCGATACTTCACTTAACCCTCACAACAACCCTAAAGAAGACTGTAGTATATCACTACATAATACTGTATATTACAGTTAATATTCTGATTATGTAAAGCATTTGTATAAATACATTTTTTAAAAACCGCAAAGATTTAAATAAATACGCAAAGAAAATGAAGTATTTAGGCAGAAGGAAACACAAAATTAAACATTTAAGAGAAAATCCTCTGGTATCAATAAAATATTCAGACTATCTTTCTTCAACAATTCTTTCTTTAAATGATTAGACTCAGAGTCAGGGAGGGAAAATGCCTGTCTTTAGGTACTGCTGATGAGTATTAGTTAATGCAACTTTTTCTTTTTAAATTTAAATCCAAGTTATTTACATATGATGCAACTCTGTTAGAAAGTAACTGAAGGTAAAGGTAGTCTTACACTATTTATACTCTTCAACCCAATAATTTTACATTAGGAATCCACCCCAAATATGGTAAAAGCCGATGTTCAAAGGTGGGCATCACTTTTGGGTGATGAGGGGGAGACCCAACCTAGTGTCCACAATAGATCAATGAAATAATCTATGGTGCCTTTCCCTTCCTAGCATATTAAGAATCTATTTAAAATTGTGTTATGAATATTCTACAGTAATATGGGGAAAGGAATTGGTTATAATATTATATAAAGAAAATAAAATTCAAAATCATACAGATTGGATTAGTTAGAAATGTTCCAAAATACAACAGTGGTTGCCTTTTGGTATTTCCTGCATTTTCTTTTATGAGTATTTTTTTTAAAGGAGTAGAAACAATCTTGGGAGAAAAGGAAATATTAACGATTTGAATATTTTTGAAAGTCTCAAAATACTTTCTTATGCGAGCAGAGAAAAGCGGTCTGGTGTACTGTTAACAGCAAACTTGGGAACTATGCGGTGTAAAATCCTGGCTCAACCGCTAACTACATGATCACCCAGAAGTTACTTATCATTCTGTACCTCGGTGCGTTCACTGAAAAAATGGGGCTAAATACAAGCACCTGCCTCATAGTGTTGTTGGTGACGATTCAATGAGTTAATCCATGTAAAATACTTAGAAACAGTGCTTGGCACATAGAAAACATGCAAATACCTGTCAGCTTTTGCTTACGTATTAAAAAATATTCTGTAGGGGTGCCTGGGTGACTCAGTCAGTTAAGTATCTGAATTCAGCTTGGGTCATGATCTCACAGTTCGTAGGGTCAAGCCCACATCCGGCTCTCTGCTCTCAGCATTGAGCCTGCTTCGGATCCTCTGTGTCCCTCGCTATCTGCCCCAACCCCGCTCTCAAAAATAAATAAACATTGAAAAAAATATATACATATTGGAAAGGAACTATTCTTTTTTGCTAGGAAACTGGTAAATATTTACCACTGGAGCCAATAATAAAAAACTCAATTTTCCTTGCTCATTAACACAAGCTCAGAAAATATTTAAATTAACAAAAATATTATCTTAGTACCAAGGGGCCATTTCCTAAATCCCAAGTCTGAAACTACTCCTAAAATAAATAAGAAAAATATAAAAGTATTACCTTATTGATATCATCTGCTGTAAATCCACTTTGTTCTAAGAGTTCTCTGATTGCTTCTATACATTTATTAAAAAGTGGAGAACAGAGAAGTTCAAATCTTGCTCTGTAAACATACACACACACACACACACAGAGGAAAAAGCAAGGAGAAAGGCTTAATACAATGAAACAAGTTTTCTTGTGAAGGGTAATGCCAAAGCCTAATGTGATGTTTTAAGAACAAGTTTGTAGGGGCACTTGGGTGGCTCAGTCGGCTGAGCCTCTGACTCTTGATTTCGGCTCAGGTCATGATCTCACAGTTTGTGGATTCGAGCTCTACATCAGCACAGAGCCTGCTTGGGATTCTCTCTCTCCCTCTCTCTGCCTCTCCCCACCCCCTCGCACCCATATATTCTCTCCCTTGCTCAAAATAAATAAATAAACTTAAAAAAAAAAAAAAGAACAGGTTTGTGAACAGAACAAGATATTTAACACCTAGCAGTGAACTCCACAGGGAGAAAACATTTGAATTATTCATCTACAAATGTATGAAGGCATTCAATGTCAAATTCAGTTGGAAGATTCTTACCCATGGCTTACTTGTAAGCTTTCAAAAAAACCTAAAAATAAATAAATACTCAGTGTATGGCATTCCCAACAAAGCCACAGATTCAAATCAAACCATCATTTACAAGCTTTTGCTATTTTTGTATGTTAAAAGTTTAAAAGATTATTTCTCATTATTTTTTTTTTTTTATAATCTGAGACTATGCTGTACATAAACTTAGTTCTCTTGCTCTGAGAAGCTCGAATGCTAGCATATAATTTTAAGAAAGATCTATGTTTGGGGCACCTGGGTGGCTCAATTGGTTAAGCGTCTGACTTCAGCTCAGGTCATGATCTTGTGGTCCACGAGTTCGAGCCCTGCATCGGTCTCTGTACTGACAGCTCAGAGCCTGGAGCCTGCTTTGGATTCTGTGTCTCCCTCACTCTCTGTCCCTCCCTCCCCTCACTAGTACTCTGTCTCTCTCAAAAATAAATAAAAACATTTAAAAAATTTTTTTAAAAATCTATGTTTATGAAAAACGCACTCCCTAATTTCATGCTAAACTTAAATGCAGATGACTGATTTTTACTTTTTGTGCTATCTGTACATACTGAAATATACTTTACCATTGAAATCTTTGTGATAAAGGCAAAATTTCTTTAATGAAACATTACAAATTCTATTTCATTCCTAATAGATAAGCAGTAATAAACAAACATACACTGAGAACTTGGACTCAGTACTAAGTTAGAAATTCTAGAAACAGAAAAAATACACAACATTCTGCCCACAAAGAGATTTCTGTTCAATTTAATACCTTTCTATCTTTGGGGCTATTGTTTGAAATCTCTCTTAAAAGAGCTAGTGCAGTGCTAATAGAACTTTCTATGAGCCACCAGCCATGTCAGGCTATTGAACACTTGAACTGTGGCTAGTGCTACTGAGGACCTGAATTTTTACTGCTCTTCCTTTTCCCCCTGTGATTTATTTCTAATTAATTAAAATTTAAAAAGCCACTGGCTACTGGTTATAGTGCTGGGCACACAGATCTAGAATCTTCAGGAAAGCCCAGGAGGGTGAAGAAGCTAAACTCTAAGGACCAGATGAGGAGTAAATTTAACCAAATACAGTCAGTAGAATCCTAAAAATAATACTGTAATTCTGGAAATTTTCACTATGTTTCCAAGTTACCTATTAGGTTGTTGAGAGGTCTGAATAGTGAACCATTGGTAGGTATTACTACTGTTAGTAACATGCCAGGCAAAATGATAGGGCAATGTGCTCTCTTTGGACTCTCTCCGGGTAAAGGCATAGTCACTTGAAACCAATATTTTGGGTTCTGTAAAAGATAAGGGAATTTAAAACAATTTTACGTACATTAAACCTGTGTTCACTAAATATCATGAACACCATCGAAACTTAAAAAGGTTGCCAATGGATGACCAGAGCCAACAAAACCAAGACAGACATGAATCTTCACTAGCGTATGACAGTGACAGTATGGACGTCGGGAGTCAAACTAGCTGGGTTTGAACGCCCAGTCCGTAGCCAACACTACACATTCTTACTCTGGAGCCCTGGGCAAGAATGAGACATCTGTTTCAGCTTCCTCATGTGTAAAATACGGAAAAGACCACTACTTACTTCACGGGCTGTTACTGGGATTTGAGGAGTTAACACGTACTACTACTTAGACTCCTGTTACACTGTGTTCACTAGTAAGTTAAATACCATTGAAACACGTGCAAGCCCCACATCAAATTGAAGCAACACTTTAAGCCTTTCTTTCAAAGACCTAGGATGCTTTTTCACACACTACTCTTTGTAGCTTTGTAGCGCAAGCAATCACAACTGATGTCATTACTTTGGGAACGCTGGGAATGGTTATTTAGTCTGACAAGAACTACACCTCACAAGTAAATACGGGAGAGCTCTCCTTCTACTGATGGCTAATAAATCTCAAAAGGACGAACAAAAAAACCCAAGGTGAGAAAATTACACCTAAATATAAATGTATTTGGAATTTTGTTCTTGTTATTTTAATTCTCCATTTTCTCAGCATTAACCCTAATAATTCTCAGGAACCCTCTATAAATTAACAGCAGGGTGCAGCCCAGTGGTTATTAAGGCTTCTTCACAGCATTTTATTACAACTAACTTTTGTCCCCAAGCGACTGATTCAGGGCCCATCTTTCAGCCTAGCCCCGCTGCTGATTCTTTTACAGAACCTGAAAATGACACTATAACATAACCGCGGCCAACACCACAGCTGACGGAGTTCTGAGGCCAGACAACCACCACTCTGCTCCACGGGGTTCAGGCCCTGTGCCTCCCCGGGAACAGCCATGCTGCTACGTGGGGACAGCATACTTGCGATGCACTTCACCAGTTGGCTTCGAAACCGTGGGAGATTTCATCACATATGTTTACTCCAGGAGGAGGCATAAAGTTACGTAGAGACGTTATTAATAATTTTATACCTCAGTATCTTATATTTGCTTGATCCATTATTTTAACTTAGAAAAGAAAAACCTAAATATGGTAAAGAAACTACTGTTCTTCATCTTTCATTGTAGGGAGTCAACAGAGTACATGTAAATTTCATGAATCAGGGTGAAAATCTCTCATTTAGAAATACGGAGACAACTCTAAGGAACCAAAAACAGTAAGTTAAAAATGGCTGCCTCTGAATCACATAAAGAAATAAAATATTGATATGTACTGCAACATAAACGATCCTTAAAAACATGCTAAGTGATGGAAACCAAACATGGAAGGTCATATACCATATGATTTCCTTTATGTGAAATGTCCAGTGTAGACAAAAACATAAAGAAAGTACATAGGTGGTTGCCAGAGGTTGAGAGTGGTGGGAACAGGAAGTGACTGCTAATGGGTATAGAATTTCTTTTGGGAACGAAAATGTTCTAGAAGCAGAACCAGAAACAGATACTGGTTGGTAATAGTTTCATAAGTCTGTGAATATACAAAAGTCCACAGAACTATACACTTTTATGGTATCTGAATATTTTAATAAAGTCATTAAAACAATTTGTTTTTCTTAAATGGGTGGCTCTAATGAAGAGGCTGGACAGGAGAAAAGTGAGATGACACCAGTCCAGTATCATCAACTCTGCTATCCTATTTCCTACCACCTTTTCCATATCATCTCTGCTGTCATATCCCTCTCAGGACCCATCCTCACGCCCTTACAGTCTCAAAGTTCCCCTGCATCGACTCCCTTACACCTCCAAGGTCTTGCTCCCGGGCCCTGGTCACACTGACACCTGAAATGCTAGCCTGCTTCCCATGGCCCCCTTCCCCCCACACTCCTGCCAGAGACACCCTGCCAGCCACATTTTAGACAATGGCGCCTCCTGCTCCCTGCACTTAGGAAGCTCTTTATTACCACCAGGATGGGGCCCTGGCTCCGCAGCAGGCATTCAGGGCCTGGCTGGGTTCATCCTGGCCTCTCCATCCTGAATTCTAATTAGGGTCAGCCTTCACCCAGATGCCGGTCGTGCAGCGCCCCCACCTCCACCCAACACACACGGACGGTGCCACAAAAGGTCAGACCCCTGCTTACAGACCGGTGCAGCCCCCTCACCTCTTGGAGCAAGTGCGTCATCTCTCCCGGACAGTGTCCCTCCCCAGAGCGGAAGGACTCCAGCTGCTCTGTGCCCCAGGGACTCTATGCAGACTGTCTCCCACTTCTCCAGGACTTAGTTGGGCTCAGCTCCCCCAAGGCTTGGAGCCTCCCTAAGCATCTCAGGCCCGTGTCCTGAACCATAGGCGCAGCACCCGCAGGCCATGAGGCCTCGGTAGCTGACGGAACCACCTTGGAAAGGGGACTGAGAATTCCTCGGGACCAGGGCTTGAACTTGTCCACATTCCCTGCCCAGCAAGCACAGAGCTCACAGGACAGCATCAAGCTGAACCAGGCACTGAATACATGAGGTAAGGTGGGAGGAGGAAGGGGGGGTGCTGCCGGCCAAAGGGGCTGCCCCTCTTCCACCTAAACAACACATGGCATCGCCGGGGCTCAGTACTGCGATCAGGCTGGTCGATAATGTGGTTCCAAGTCATAGAAAACTGTCTGAATTCTCCTTGTCTGTGCCCTGAAAGCCTTAAATTTCTGGCTGATTCTTTCTTTATGCAAAGTCTAGCTGCTATAAACTGAGGAACACAAAGCTAGGATGGCAGGAGACAACCTGGTCACCCCAGGGAACAGGACAGTCCTTCAGGAAAAAGCAGAGGCCCACCTCACCTGGACCTCGGCTGTGGGGAGCCCAGTGACCACCAGAGCTCTCTTCCACAGGCCAGGCAGAGACCTGAGCACACAGAGCCCAGAAGGCCCATGGGTCAACAGCTACCATTCCTTAGGACTGATCCGTAAGGACACTCCAGGAGGCCCACAGCAGATGGCTGCCATCCCACAGGATCAGTAGAGCAGGTGCCTGCCCAGAAGCACTGGATTTGGGTGATTCACCCACAAGTGCAATACTATCCAAGCCCAAGTCTGACAGTTTCCTGATGTGGAGCCCAGACCACAAAGTCCCTAGGTTCCGCGTCTTTGTGCAAGTCCTGAGATCTCTCTGAAGGTACCAAGGCCAACTGGTAGATTCTGTGGATTCCTGGGAGTGCGTCTAAAGCACCAGGATGCCCGATGGGCCCCAAGAACACTAGGAACTGCGCCCAAACTCAAAGTAGGCAAACGATTCCGCACGTTGTTTGCAACTTAACAAAGCCCGCGTCAGTGCACGCTTAAGGGAAGCGGGGATTGTTCCCCTCCCATGGTCCAGGTCGTCCTTCAGTGCCTCAGGGGAACTTGTGCAGACCAGAAACACTCTGGTTCGCAGCTCCTGGCCTCCCACCGGCAGGCCTCCCACCCCTGCAGGCTGGTCCCCTCCGCTCTAGGCTGGCGACTTAGCAAGCTCAGGAGCGCCTCTGGGGGGGGGGGGGGGGCTTTGTTGTGCTCCGAAGTTCTGCCTGGCGGTAGGCTCGCTGCGGGGCAGGAGAAACAAAGGCGTGCTGGGCCAGAGGCCCGACCCAGTGCCAGGCATGGCGACCCAGTGCCAGGCCTGTCCTGCAGGGCTCACCGGGGCCGCCCAGCTGGCCCAACGTGGCCAGGAGCCCAGAAGCGGAGGCAGGAGGCGGGAGGGTCGCAGAACCAAGGGGAACGGGGGCGCGAAGCAGACGTAGAAGGGGCAGGCGTGGGATCCGCCCTGATTGCAGGTGCCATGGGCTTCCCGCTCCTTCTCCCAACCCTCCTGGCACTGGAGGGAGGCAGCAGTGGCCCCACCGCCTGGGCATTGCCTCACCCCGGCCTGGAATTTTTGTTTGTTTGTTTGTTTGTTTGTTTAAATGTTTACTTATTTTTGAGAGAGAGAGAGAGACAGAGTATGAGTTGGGGAGGGGCAGAAACGGAGGGCCACAGAGAATCGGAAGCAGGCTCTGAGCTGTCAGCACAGAGCCCAACTCGGGGCTCGAACTCACCAACTGTGAGATCATCACCTGAGCCGAAGTCAGAGGCTTAAGCAACCGAACCATCCAGGCGCCCCTGGAATTTTGTTTTTTAAAGTTCTTTGGACTTCATTCAGTTTTACCTGGACACATTGCAGTCAAAATCTTGACCTTCATATAATGAGTCAAGGAAACAATTGGCACTTCCCAAGGTTGACAAAGAATGCTTTGCAATGTCAGCACTGTTCATCAGCTTCATCATGGCTCGGGCGTTCCCTCTCACATCATGTTTGAAGGATCTAGATTAAAAATATAGTCTCTGAAGTTTAAAAATTACTAGGCCATTTAGAATTATGTAGATAATGCCTACTAGGACAATAAGCCCATACGTTAATATTAATATCAGATGTTACTACAGGTTTCAAACCCTCCAAAATCTCTGAAGAAAATTCTTTGCAATTAAAAGAAGGGCCTCCTTAAAAAAAATGAGTAACAGATATATTTGATACTTAGAACTGCTCTATTCTGTGGCCATAATAATAACCAATTGAGCCACCCAGGCACCCCAGTATAGGTCTTTTTGAAACAAGTAAGTAATTACCTCTTTTTCAAGACTTTTTTTACCTAGTCAGTTTAGTCAAACTGATGAAAATACTATTTCAGCCAAATATTTTTTAAGAGTGGCAATGTCCGAAATAGAACCTTTATCTATTTGACTCTTGATTTTGAATGGAATAATTACATCTAGTAACAAAACCAAAATGCTGCTTGTGATAGCAGATTAGTAATTAAATAAACACTCCATAAGACACTAATTCATTGGGATGTGACTGTAACATAAGGTAACCTTCATCAGATCTAAACTTTTAAAAATTGTTCAGAAGGTATTGAGCCCTCAAGTGCTTGTACACTCCTTTATCTAGACATAATAGCAGCACCCGAGGTATTAAGAAATTTAATTGAGACCCACGTTCATGAAGTTCAACATCTGGCAGGCCCTCACACTAAATGAGAAATCTGAGCCCACTGTACTGGACAACTTGCCCTCTGCTTCCCTGCAAATGCCTGGAGAGGACATTGTAACTCTAGACACAAAAATATCCAAAGCACTGGAAAAAAAACCCCACATCCTCCTTTGAAGCAAGGCAATTTAAAACAGTACAAAAACCCAGAAGAGAAACTTCAATTAAAATATATCATGAAGTCCATTAATATTTACCTCTGAAACTCTGAAGCCAGATACTGTGCTAAGGTTTCTGTGAAATGTGTACCTCCTATGTTATCATCAGTGTTTGTTGAAAGAACACGATATATTCCACTGTTCACTTCCATGACACTGACAGATAAGGATGTTCCTCCAAGTTTAAACACCAAAATATTGCTTAAAAGAAAGAAAACGTAAGTAAGTTATGAGAGAATCACAAAACTTTAAAGGCAGGTTGGACACTGGAAGTCACTTAGTTTAATCCCTTTATGTCACAAATAGTTGATTAGTGCTGAATTAAGCCTGGAACCCCTACATTCTGAATCAAAACCAAAGTCTGTTTTTATTTAGTTGCATATGTAAACTGGATTCTTTTGAGTAACTGGAGTTCAAAACACTAACTTTTCTTTTCGTGGTTATAATGAATCATAACAGAATTAAATACAGAAACTTTATGTGCTAATATTATCCAAGTTACTACTACAATGACACATTCTGTAAAAATCAAACATATGCAAAACTAGAAGCTCATTTCTGATATTCTACATAAACTAATTTCCTACTGATTTATACATACTAACTTCTTTAACTGTGAAATAGTAGTAAGGTGAAACAACTAGGGAAAATAAACACATCAGAATTAATCTCCCTAACGGTGTCTGTGTCAGATATATTAGAAGTTTCAACAACTAAATTAGGAGCATGTCTTACTATTTCATTATCAAAAAACGCTTTAAATCCCATGCTGGATTCCCCCCATCTCCTGTCAAGAAAAATGTATATAAAAGACTTACTGTTTCTAAACATGTTTAATAATTGGAATTGGTAGAAAAATTAACAGTGCCTTGGCTTGAGTTGGAATTTGGCTGGGCTTATAAATTTCAAATCCTCCTCCAATAAAGACAAATAATATGAAAGGGGCGCCTGGGTGGCTCAGTCGGTTGAGCGTCTGACTTTGGCTCAACCATGATCTCATGGTTCGTGGGTTTGAGCCCCGCATCAGGCTCTTTGCTGACAGCTCAGAGCCTGAAGCCTGTTTCAGATTCTGTGTCTCCCTTTCTCTCTGCCCCTCCCCCACTCGCACTATGTTTCCCTCTGTCTCAGAAATAAACAAACATTAAAAAAAAAAAAAAAAAGACAAATAACATGAGTAATAAGAAGACAGCAAAGTTCAATCTTCCCTCCTGTTATGTCCTTTCTCTGCTCTCCTAGGAAGTCTTTCTCATCTATTTGAAAAACCCCAGGTGAGAGTTTCAATGTCATTTCATCCATAAAGGCTTGGAACCCACTGCTTTATATAATGATCCCCATTGCTATAATCTAAAAATGTTTTCTGCACTGAAAAACTTAGAGCTGCAAATATGGTTTTTACCTTTTTCCAGTGGGGCAGTGTTGTCCAATTCCATAAGCCAGAAGAGCTGCAGATGGTTCATGGATTAACCGCAAAACATTAAACCCAGCAGCTCTGGCTGCTTCCCTGTGGACAATTTGCTTTCAATGAATTTAATATCACAACACGTTCGAGTATTTTCTTGACAAAAAAAAAATAACATGCTTATAACGAATAAAGAAAAGTCTCAAAAATGTCCATGCTTATAAATGTTAGAAAGAGATTAAGACAAATTTATAATACATTTTGGAATTTTCCAGTTTCTTTAATTTAGGGTCAGTTTTTAACATCCCACAAGTTCAAGTAAATAAAGCAATTATCTGTCCCACAAGCAACTCAGATGACTGCCAAAGTGCCAGATGAAACTCTATCCTCAAAACAAAGGTATACATGCTCATCAATTACATTTTCATAATGACCTATAAAAAATAAACGCAACTTTTTGTTTAGATGTGAAGATCTAACAAGGTGAAGAAATAATTGCAAATATATCTAAAACTGTATATATTTTTATATAATTCCAACATAAACCTTGATTATATGAAAGTCAGGCAAAGCAACTTATAAACATGAACTTAACCCGGTAATTAAAAATATTTCCAATCAAAACAGCTTAATAAGGTACATCTAATTTTATGTTCTCTTGGTATTACAGATAGGAAATATTAATGATCATTACTATACTTTTTACCATACTAATTACATATGTAAATATATACATCTGTTTACAAATACAATTTTATTGCCTAAGGTACTTTCAATTACAGTTTTACCTTTTACTACATTGTGGTATTATAAAATCTATATTTGCTCTAAGCAAACAAGATAAACTTACCCAAGAGCATTTTTTTGCTTTTCTCCAAAATCAAATGGAACAGTAATGACTACATCATTTGCATCTGAGCCCAATACAGAATGTGCTGTTTCTGTATTAAAAAATAAATAAATAAAAATAAATTCTAATGACACAAGAAAAATGTCATGATACTTTGTGGTTTATTAATTTGTACCATGATCTTCTCACTGTAAAGATTTTCCAATACACTTATTTGACCACCCCATTCATGTTCTTCTCTGGCTCTCTTAAACTTGTTAAGTTTACTTACTAATTTTGGGAGCGACAGAGACAGCATGAGTGGGAGAGGGGCAGAGAGAAAGGAAGAGAGAAAGAGTCCCAAGGAGGTTGCACACTGCCAGCCGAGAGCCCGAAGGAGGGCTTGAACTCACGAAAACTGTGAGATCATGACCTGAGCCAAAACCAAGAGTCTGATGCTTAACTGACTGAGCCGCCCAGGCGCCTCTCTTCTCTGGCTTTCTTAAATAGTGCAGAACTTTTTGTGGATTTGGAAATCTGTGGACACGGAACCAGGTACTTTCCAAAAAGCCTGGCTCTTAGGCTTCAAAGTTTCAACCATCTCCCAAATTAGACTGCTTCCATTAACAGTGAGTCTTTCATGTGTCCATGTGAAGACAAAACAGCATGTTAGTTCAACACACTAGAAGAATGCCTTCCATCCCACAAATTCGTAACAATTCCAGAGCTGAAGTGAGTCTTATCATCTGCTCCCGAATTTCCCAAATTGTTCCACAGCACTGCCACTCGGTTTTGAGTCTTCCTTGGAAGTGTTAATGAGCCAGACCTACTTAATCTACCTAAAGAACTGTTCAAAGAGCACTGTCAATCTTGAGCAGAGAAAGAAACTCTTCACACTTATTTGGCCACTTCAATTTAAGAAGCTGTGGAAATGTGAGCCTGGCCCAACCCATTTACATTACTTCTAAGGAAACCAAAGTCAGGGAAGGTTAGTCAAATAACCAAGGTCACATGGACAGTTAGTGACACAGTCAGGTCTAGTGTTAGGTCTCCTTAATCTGCTCAATCACCCTGCTTCTCTCCAGATCAAGAAACACCTCTAACTTTTCTTTAAGGTCAACTTTTAAAAGGTCTCTTTTGCTCAATACCTTTCATTTTACTAAATATCAGTCTGGCAACATCTTCTGGGTTAACAAACTTTGTTTCTTCTCCAGTATCTATTTCGTATCGTAACTTTCCATTCTTTTCAATGACCTATAAAGGAAATTGTAGGTGTGTTACATAAGGAATGATTTTAATAAAGATAGAAAGTTTCAAAATAATATAATTGGTTATGACCTTGGCAACGACTTTGTGTAACGGAGAGGTAATAATAGAACCATACTCACTAAACATTTACTTTCCGTGATGTATTTCTGAGCCTGCGGATCATCAGAGCTGTCCATAAAGATAAAGATAATTATTAAAATCAGTATTGTTGATGAGTAATATTTAAAGACTATATTTTTAATATCACTAAACAAATATAAAAATATAAACAAAATCATGAAGTTGCTTAATATTAACAAATCATGATATATTATAAGTGATAGGATTAAATGGACACTATTATTTAGTGGTTATAGTAATCCTATTAAAGTGTTAACCTGCGTGCACACGCACGCACACGCACACACACGTGTTAACCTTCATGTTTGGAAGTAAATAGCTCTTATTTGTTCTGATCTTGCTATTAACAGATGCTATACATCTGAGGGTAATTTTTCAGAATATCAATGATTTTATGTCATATATACTCCCATCTGTGATGGTGAAGACTGATCACTGACAATCACTGAGATAAAAAGGACGAAAAGAAAGATGTCAAAGTAAGGGCAGACCAGAATACCTAACACCATCTTTGTTCCTTGGCTCGTGAACATGAATCAACACCCAAAGCAAAAAACAAAAAACAAAAAAACAAAAAACTGAGCTGAAGTATGAATGTTCTATGTGGAAAGGTGCAGCGTACTGCAAGTAGACAGATCTATAACGTCCTACCCAAAGTAGGTATTAAATGTATACGGCAATGAAAAATTAGAACAATGGATATGATGTTGCTCAAAATACCAATTTGTGCAGACTAAAAAATGTTTTCACGTGTATTACCTCACTTGCTCTTCACAACACCTCAGTGGGGTTAATTTGGCAGGTATTATTTTGGAGGTAATAGTTCATAGAGAGTCAATGCCTTGTAAGTTAATAAGGAACAGTTGGTACTGATTCCAGCCTTCTCTATCAGGGTGGTGTTGTTTACATCTAACCGGCTGCCTCCCAGTAACAAGGTAAATGACTAAAGTACCTCTACCCCTTTGGGCAGTGACAGGAGTCCTTGATTCTTGCTATAATTTCATCTAGAAATTAAAGGAAACCCTTCCACTTTAACCCTTCTTCCAAGGGGTTGCAGCTATTCCATTCAGAGACCAGTCTTTAAAAAGAGTTGAAAATTAATAGCAACTAACTGCTGAAGTTATTGGGCATCCAAAGACCCTAACCTGTGTAAATAAGAGGAAGACAGAAGGGTTTAAGTGACTAATTCGGCTTAGAACTGTCTAGAACACTTGCAGATTCCTCACACTTCTTCTCTATCACCTAAAAACTGCTAAGAGAGGAAACAGGTTAAAGTAAGTAGCTTGCCCAAAGTCCCATGGTTAATTCATGGCAGAACTGACTGGAATCCAGATCTTTAATACAAAGTTTAGTATTCTTTTCACTAAGCCCTCTTTTCCTCCCTTTCTCTAAATCCGGTATTTCGACTGGATCCTGGATAACTATTTTAAGAGTACGCCAAAAAAAAGATGAAGCGTGCCCATATTTATTTGCACCAATACCATTTCAGCATGACACTTACCAGTTGTTCTCTTTAGAACAAGCGTTGTGGTCAACCAGGACAATTTATCCTGTTATCTATCCTTCCTGTAAGCTACCCAAGTCAAGATAGTTCATTGCCAAAAAGCCTATATTATGGAATTTATAGACATTTTAGAAATGGAAAATTATTTCTCAACTCCCCTGCGAAGAGGGCCCCTCTCATGTGAGGACAGAAAGCACACGAAGCTCTCAGGATCGTATGAAGGCGAGACCCTGGAGATTAGCTAGTAGAGAAGCAGAAAGCAGAGAGTGGAGGTGACGACAAATGGTCGTGGATATCGCCAGAAAGTAGCGGACTGACCACAAGTACATACAAGTAAAAACTTTATTTGTCCACACCAGGATTAAATCACTTAACAGAAACACAAAGGGTGGTGGGAGGTTGGCATACACAGCACCTCATTTACATCACGGTCTTCAGGAGGCAGAGTGTTAACCCCACCGTCGTACCACAACCTTTACAAGCACTGCCACTTTCTCTTCCTCGTCCTTCCTTAAATGTCTCTTGCACCATCAGCAGACTGCCGGAGCTGGCACACAGCAGCACTAATGTGCTCCAGGGCGGTCTTCCCCATCACTGTCACAAGACAGTGCCTTCCACATCTGAAAGCGTTTTTACATTCATCTGTTCATCTGGCCCTCACCACACTCCCGCGAGGTAGGTAGGAGGGTTGTTTGTCTCTCCCTCTGTGGGTGAGGAATGGGAGTCACAGAGCGGTAAGGTGACCTGCCTAAGGGTGGGCAGGCACGAACGGTGGGGCCCAGAGCCTAGGCAGGGTTTCTGAGCTTGTTCTCTTTCAATGAGAATGGCCTCCTCTTAACAGTGTTTTCTTTTTCTGTTTATGTCATTAAGAACTTTCCTTTTCTTCTCACATTAAAGTTATTTCACCCAAAAGATTTTCACAGTACTACCTCCTAAGTTTAGCTCCACTCCTGTTCTGTAGCACTTATCTCAAAATAAAGCCCTGCCTACGTACTTTTCTACCATTAATAGGTTAATAGAGTACAGGCCTAACTCTCCTTTGAGTACTTCCCTGTTTTTCCAGAAAGTCTACGTACTTATATTAGTGTTACCCCGTTAAAACAGACACATACAAAGGCCTAAAACAATGGAGAAAATGCACACACATGTATATCCGTTTCACTGCCTTAATATGGGCTTCTTTAAAGCAAGGAACCTACGTCTGGTGTGGTGCTTATGTAAGTGGAGTATATTAATAAATATTAATACCGTAGAATGCTCTCTTAAAATACAACTGTTACCAGTATTTCAAACATACAATATGCTACTGTGACTGAAAATATTACAATTAAAAGTTTACTTTGCCTTTTTCTTGTTATGTCACTTATAGAATTGCTTTAGAACTAGAAGGTACTAGAAAAGTCATCTAGTACAAATCATTTTAAAGAAATTGAGGCACCAAAAGGGCAAGTCACCTGCCCGAGGTCACACACCGTGACAGGGTTAGAATCCAGTGCTCTAGCACATCAGCTGCCTTCTACACGCATCACCCGTTCGTCAGTGCAGCTTGCCTGCCTCCGACTCACGCTCTGGCTATATTCCTAGTGTTGTTTTGACTCTTTCTCCACCCACCTGCATTTCCAGCACATAGGTAAGCACCCAAGCCTACAAAATATAAAACAAAACCTCTTCAAATATGCCTGCACTTGTTTTTTTCAGCCTGTAGACTGGAGGAAAGCCTTTTAAATTCCAAGGCTCTTATTTGTATTTCCTGAAAGTACTAAGCAAACCACTTAAAAGCTTTGAAGTTTGTTGGTTTCATGACGGCCAATAATGGCATTCTTTCTAAGGTAAATTGGAAGTATGGCTCAACATCTTCGTATCTCCTAAAGGAAGCGTGGATGTTTTGGGGGAAAGGAGGACGTATTTATTGAGGGCTTTGTGCTTAAAAGGAGTCATCTACTGCAGGCGGTCTTTATCCACACCATCCTCAGTTGTTCCCGCTGTCCTCTTCCACCACAGGCCATTAACACGGTGAACTTTTGTCTACACTGTATGAGAAAAAGTGACTTTGCAAAGTTCCCCAGAAGCAAAGTCTTCTAGGGCTTGCCTCTGTAACATACTAGACAGAAAAAAGGCTTAAAGAAAGGAATGAAATTAGCTGAAAGCACTTGGAAAACAGATTCCAAATTGTTTCCACATGTTGTTCCAAGTGACACCCTAAACCTAAAGACATGTAATTATGTATATTAGGGACCCAAATAATATGGAATGCAAAGAATTTACTTACATTTAATATTTTATAAAACAGCCAATACCTCATCATATCGAAGACCATATGAATCGTAACACACAGCTGTAGCTCCCTGTCAGTTCTGAATTATATCCTTAGAGTGGTAAGTCACTAAAAACCAGTGAAAGGGAAGGAAAGCTGGTTTGACCATTGAGTGCTTACTAGTAAGTATGTCATAGACACAGCAGTGAAAATATAAGAGATAAAGGTATAAACACATGGATCTATATCAGTCTAATGAGCCAGAGAGGGATTAAAAAAATGAAAACCTTACACTTCTAAGAAGCAGTCAAGTTAAACTGGTAAAGATTCAAGCAATGAGGTCACGGCAGACACCATAATTCTTTGTCAACTAACGTGCCTCACCCTAGCCAAACCTCGGCCAAGGTCATATGCATTAATAACTTACATGTATATAGTGTGTAGTGCTTTTAAACTTTTAAACCCTTTCACATCTACTAGCCATTGGGTCCTCACAACAACCCTGTGAGGTAGGCAGGTCAGGAGTTATTACCGGGCCCCCATACAGATGAGGAAACTGGTGTCGAGGTAAACTAAACTGCCCCACACTAGCAGCGAGGCCGCAGCTAACCCCCTCTCTGGTCTCGACTCCATCTGTTCTGTCAGACCACTCCTCGCATACCCGAGAGGTCTTCAAATTCGTGAAGAAGCTTGGAAAAGCAACTAGCTCATACGTTCCCGCTACTCTGCATATTAATGGTTCATCTGCTTTTTCTTTCCTTTATTCCTAAGGACGTGTAAAAGGAGCCAGGGTACCAAAAGGCAGGTGTTGGAACTGGGCTTCTACCAGTTTAGGAAACAGCCTCTTTGTAATCAATTCTTAACTTTTGGTATTCGAAATTAACCTCTGAAGCAATTTTTCGAGCCCTAGCTGAAAAGCACCGGTGGCCTCTTCCACCGCCGTGGCCAAGCGTCTGACTGCGATCACGGCATCCCTGCGGAGCTCGTTGGCAGTGTCTTGCTGAGCACTGGCCTCCTCACCAATAGCAATCAGCCTGTCCAATTTTTCTTCCTCACGCTTTGAAAGTTCTCGTGCCAACCTCCTGTTTTCTGCCAACTCGGCCGCAATAGTCCTGGCCACTGACCGCCTTCTTCGCCTCGCCCACCGTGGAGGGGGCTCACCGGTCAAAGGCCTATCCCCACCAGAAACAAAAGGAACTGTGGAGGAGGAGACCGGAGGCCGCGGTGCGGAGGCCACCCCAGGAGTGTTTCGGCTGGTGCTGGCGCACGGACTGGGCTCACCGGACACACCCAGGCGGGTCATGGGGCTGCTCTGACAGGGAGCAACCGCACCTCTGAAAAGGTGGTGGGAGCTGCTGTAGCTGGGGGTCCCTTGAGAGCACCCTGAAAAACAAAGCAACAACGTTGCAAAGAGGACATTCCTGCTAGGGGAATGCTTGGAGCCAGCAGTGGAGTTGAGAAGACAGTTACAAAACTAAGGCTGGAAAGGCCTCTTTCCACCAGGGACTGGGAAGATCTCAATTCCTTAATCTGGACACTTTGGCCAATTGCAGTCTTACCTCTAAAACCTCCCTGTTGCCTTCCTGAACCCTTTTCCACATAGCCAGCCAGCCCCATCTCTAGTCACGAATTCCTACACACCCACTATAAATAACAGCAAAACTAGTCTGGTTCTAAAGAATACTTCATCCACATTTAAAAAGTTCTAATACCTTAGATACTTAAGGTCATTGCTTTTAAAAACCTGGAGCCCTTTATCTGACCACGAGGCTTAAAAAATAAGAGGGCATGGGGCAGAAATGGAGACAATGTTGAAGAGAACACCATCCAAACATATCCTGCTGTTTAGAACCGAGTGACTCTGGCACCCCGATCCTTCACATGCTTGGGAGTTACCTGCACCCGAGGATTCATCCCAGGAGTCCTCAAGGTCACTGGTTTCTCGCATCTGGTCACTGATTCTCAGTTGACAATCCTCATCTGATTCCTTAACTGTTTTCAAGATAGGCTGATGATCTGCTGCCTGAGTCCTTTTTGCTCTGAGAATGCTGGGTCCCTCTTCCCCTGGGGTGTCAGAGGCCACTAAGTTCTGATCACAGTGCTTGGCCCAAGTAGTGTCCTCCATTAAGTTGTCTGGGTCAGTCACTATCTGATTTCGGAGAAGCTGATCCAATGTATCATAAAACGGACAGTGCGGCGGATCCCCCACACTCGTGGCATGGGCAACGTACGCCTTTAAATATAACGCCTTCAGAACTTTAAACTTGGAGCGGCACTGACGTTCGGTGCGGCGGAAGCCTTCCTGCTGCATTCGCTTAGACACAGCCTGATAGACATCTGCATTATGATGCACAGTCTGGAGGCGTTGAATATACTCTGCCTCGCCTAGTATGGAGAGAAGCGTTCGTGTCTCCTGTCTGGACCACCGGATGCCCGCACTGCTATTGGAACTGGCCATAGTGGACTGGGAAGGAAGATTAGCTGTGGGAAGCTCCTGGGCAGCAAGGTGCAAATCTGAAGGTGTGGGGAAGCTCTGTGTGCTCTCAGTGTATTTCCAGGAGCCAGCCGATTCTTCCCTCTCAGGGCTAATTGTTGAGAAGCCAGGTCCAAGGACCGCATTTCTGGCTGGAAGGCCACAGGGGAATGAGAGTTACAGAGAGGGTCGTGAGGATAATCGTGGCAGCAAGTTAAGTGGTGCTCCCTGTAAGTACGGTGCAAACAGGCAGGATGCCAAGACTAAGGAAGCCCAACTTTGGGAGTTTGCCCAGGACAGGTACTGGACCAGGGGCTTCAAGGGGTCTTATTGGCTTGATAAAAGGGGACTGGCTCCTCCACAAAAGACAGAGTGCTTCTAAGGCCAAGACCTGGTACAAGTGCATATCTGTAAAAATCACCTTGTGTTCTAAGTAGACTGAGGGCAGAACATGTGGACCAGGACGCAGCTCACTCTAGAGAAGTGCACGCAGGATCATGGTGTAACAGCAGGTCTGAAGAGCGCTCATCCTTTACTAGCCCTGGGGCTATATAATACCCATCTGACTGTCACCACTGCACTTTGTTAAAAGGTTAACTTTGGGGGCGAGAAAAGTACACTTAAGTTGTTCCTGACAATACAAAGATGTTGCATGATATGGCAGAAGACAACCATATCATTACTCTGATCATCTGCCCTAAAAAAGGGCTACCAGGACAAAGATCTACTGAAATGTTCTGTATCAGGATCGTATCAATGTCAGTATCCTGGTTGTTCCACTGTACTATAGTTTTCCAAGATGTTACCATCGAGAGAAAGTGGTAAATCCAGTAATATATTGGATTTCTCTGTTATTACTTCCTACAACAGTATGTAAATCTACAATGATCTCAAAATAAAAAGTTTAATTAAAAAAAAGCCCTATTTTGGCTGCTTATAGCGAATCTAGCTTCAAGGCCCATGTACGGCTCCCCGCCTTTTTAGAGGTTTTTTTTTTAACTTGCAAATTTTTGACACCAGCTAATTTATTTTCAATATGCTCAATACTAAGTTTTATCAACACATAAATGGATATGGGAATATATTTATCATCACAAAAATTTTAATTCTCTCTAAAATATTATCATTTTTTACTTCGTGCATAAATACCCTAAGGGGGAAAAATAATTATCAAGTTCAGCTTAAATACGTGTAAGGGATAATAAAAAAAAAATACCTATACATATAAAAGAAATAAATATTAGATTTAATCCATAACCCTCGAATCCTAAGATCAACACAGGACATTTCTACTTAAACTCTCAGAAGTAGAAAGAACCTGAGGCTAAGTTACAAGTCCTAAACCACAGTCCTACCTAGCTCACCCCTCTAACTGAGTAACACTGTAACTTCTACATGTCTTGATTTTCTCATCTACAAATGGGAAGAAATAAAACCTGCCCTTCCAATCTTTTAGGGATTTGAGAGGATTAAATAATAGATGTGAAAGCACTTTGAAAATTTAAAAACACTGTATCAAGTATTACTACTCCAGTGAAAATGAAAACCTCTAATTATTATGTCAATCTATAATTCGAGGAGACAGAAGTCTGGAGAAGCAAGCCTCTTTAATCTTTTAATTAAAGTTACAACAGATGATTAACCTGATTCTTAAGATGTTAATTAAACTGTTTCTTTAATGATTAAATTCATAATGCAGCTGGAAAAGTTAGTTCCCAGAAAGTGTCACAAAAGGACCCAAGGAAGAAAATCAATAGCTTCTATATACATTATGACCAAATGTAATAGATTTTGCAAAATTCGACTTCAGTACAGAAAAATCTTCAAATTCCCACAAAATCTTTCAAATTCTTTCAGTGACGTAAAAAGGTGAAAAGTCCAAATTACCACTTCTAAATGACACAAATTATCAAACTATATGAATGTTGCCATTCATCAATAAGAACAGACCCATCAGCAAGAAACAAATATCTGAGTGAATCCCATCCTTGACAAGATTCAACACTAATTATCAAAAGAAAGAGCCTACTTGGGATAATCTCTGAAATGACTCAACCATAAAAAGCAACAGAAAACCAAACTGGTGTTTCCAGTTTCACTGCACATTATGTTTAGAATGTATAAACACATTTTCTTCCCATATGTAAGATTATTATTTTATTCCGTACCTTCTGCCAAGGATCTGCTTTACTTTCATTACTGTATTTGAAATATTTCTTATTCTACTTTGTTTTGCTGCCAATCCAACAACCTGAAAAAGAGCAGTATATTACAATGCATGTAATTCTGCTTATTTCAAAATACAAAAATGAGGGAAATAGTACCTCTTCATTTTCTGTGTAAGCAACTACAGCTGGAGTAACTCTGTCACCTGCATCATTTGCAACCACATCAGCCCGGCCATCCTGGAAAAAAAAAATAGAACTCTATTAGGTCTTTTGAAAACAAAACACATATAGACATATACAGATAGATAGTCCCATCAGACATATGTGGACCAGTGTTATCTTGCCACATGCGTAGATAGAAAAATCGTTACATCAATATTTTAAATTTGTAGATTCAATGGCCGTTATTAATTTCCTAGATTTTATACAAGGTCAATGTTCCACAAAGAACTGCCTCATTTTTTCTATACAGTCGATAAATGGATCAAACATAATAATCTTTCTATATACAATAACAAGCCTTATAACATCACCCTTTCTAGTTTTCGTTCTTCCCCGACAGGTACATCTTTCTTCCTTTTTCTACGTATGATGAAGTAGCACTAAATCTCTTTGGTTTTCCTTCCAAGTTACTTGACATTTACGTGCGAGACTAGTATTAGGGGAGTTGGTTATTATTGTTCCTCTCGCCTCCCCACTGATGCCAAGAAGCTACAACTCCTTGTTAAGCTCTCTCATTCAAGAAAGGTCAAGTAGAGCATGCCACCAACTCGATTCACACGCTTCGAGGGATTAGCAACTCCAGTTTCAGATCGCGACCACCCGGTCCTTTCGCGGCAAACATTCAGAAGCCGCCGGTGTCGGACGTTCAGGCCCACCTCCGGGCCTCCAGTGCCCTGGAGATCCTCGAGACCCCTCCCGGCCTCCGGCAGCCCTGAGGTCCCTGGGACGGCCCCTCTCCGGCTTCCCTGCAGCCCTGATGTCCCCGAGACCTCCCAGGCCTCAGATGCCCAGACGTCCCCGGGACCGCCCCCTCCGGGTCTCCGGCGGCCCTGACGTCTCCAGGACCGCCCCTCTCCGCGCCTCCTGTGGTCCTGATGTCCCCGAGACCCTCCGGGCCACCTGCGGGCCTGACGCCCCGGGGACCAGCCGTCCCCGAGATCCCTCTGGGCCTCCAACGGCCCTTACGTCCCCAGGACCGCCCCCCACCAGGCCTTTTGCGGCCGGGACGTTTCCAGACCCCGGGCGCCCACGTCGTCACAACCGTCCGCCAGGACGCAGTGGACTTTCCGGAGGAGCTACGGATGACGAGGCCGGTCCGCCCGGCGCTTCGCCTCCAAACTTGCCCCTAGTAATGTCTCTCCACGCGACATTCCTAGGCCGGCGACACGCCGTTCACAAACCCCGCAGGAGATCAAAGGACTTGGCTCAGCACCGGGAGAACTGGGTGGCCGACATTAATCACAAACCAGCTCCCCCAGGCCCTCACCTTATAGACGGCCACACAGGCTGAAGTGCAGCCCAGGTGAACTCCGATGGCCGCCATGAGGCGGCAGATACGGCGGCAGCAGTAACGAGTGGTCCCCCTGTGCCAACAGCTCCCGACCTCCGAACAGCCCCATCAGGCACCGCGGAAATTTCACGTTCCCGCCCGCCCACTGCGTCCCGTACATCCGCCCCGGCCTCCCGCGTCGCCGCCAATCAGCGTGAAGGTTTAGCCTTTCCTCTCGGACTGTCTGCGAATAGCTTCAGTGCGTCCCCCAATCCCCCGCCCTACCGGAAAGGCACCGAGTGGGCGATAGTGCGCATGCTCCAGTGAGGGAGGGCCTGGAAGGGGCGCGGACTGTTTCTAGGCCCTTTCCTGGAAGCCAATGGAAACTGCCGATTGAGTTGCGTCACTTGTCCTAGTAACTCTGGGCAGATTTTTTTCCCAACGACTAGCCGGGCTCTTCTGCGTCCTGTAACAGCCCGGGCCGACAGCAGCGTGGCTGTTGGTGGACGCAGGTGGCGAGGCGTTTGGAGCGGCTGGCTCAGCATGCGGTGCGCGGGCCCAGCCGCGATGGTGGCCTTTTATGCCGGGCTTTGGGTCTCTAACCTGGGGCCGGTGCTGGGCCAGGAGGCCGGGGCCGACTGTGAAGGTGAGCGGTGTGAGACCTGCTTGCATGGCGGTGGCACCGCGCTGCAGCGCAGCTGTTGTCGGCTTTGGCTTCTCCCGGCCTGGGCTATAAATAACATTTAACTCCGGAAATGTAGGCCCAGTTCCTGGTTTCCCATCGCCTTCTCCCAAGCCTAGGCAAAACTTCGATCCTGGCCCAGTGATACCTTGAGGCCGCGTTCTGGTTTTGAGGTTATTGAACTGCGGTCAAAGGTGGAGGGTTTGGATTTGGATTAGATCTTGTGCAGACCCCCTAGCTTCCGAAGACCCTGACGCTGCATTGATTCTGCTGCAGCTGACGGGCGCGACTGGCCTCTCCCTGCACAGATGTCTTTCAAATTTAAATGTCTGATTCCCAAAAGAAAAATAAAACGCTAAATTGTCTGTAATTGAGTTGAGGTGGCTTAAACCAGAGAACATAACTAACGTTTGTTTAGGGCTTTACAGAGAAAAGTTGCTTTACAAAGGAGTACATTAACTCCTTAAGAGGAATACCCAGCAATGATTCCTTTTCTGTTGGCAGAACCTCAGCTGTGCACTTGCAGTCTGAACACGTGAATCTAGGTTGCACCCCCCGCCCCCCCGCCCCCCATGCCTCTCCCTTGCAAAATCAGAGCGCTAATACCTACTTCAGAGGGTGGTTAACAAGATCAAAGATAATAGCTTTGCTAGCTATGCTAGCCCCTTGCTTCGGGTCTACTGTAACACTTCCATTTTTCATTCACTGAAATAATTTATATAAGTGTATATCCTCCTCACTCGTTTATGACCTTGGACCTCTATCCCTACTTACCAGGAAATTATAGGGTCACAGTATACACTGAATACTGGATGACCGTAGTTTGTATAGTAACTTAATGAAGTCTTAAGGGTTGGAGTCCAGTTTTATGTCGGCCCTGCAATAATTAAACTTCTCTTCAGAAATTTAAAATATCTACACGATGTTATTTTAAAACTTTGTATAGATGTAGATAATTGTTCAGCTAGGTTATAATTTTGCTTAAAGATCTCTTATAACTGTGTCCTGTACATTTAAAGCAGAATTTGTGAGACATTAACAACTGATTTGATTACTTACCAATTTGATTTCTGGAGTGTCTACCTGAAAACATTTCAGATAAGCCAGAGCATCTGGACTTATTAAATGTGAAGCTTATGCCATCTTTCCTGGATTTATTAAAGCATATTGTGATTATTGTGTGTCTGACTAGACCTTATTTTCTATTGTCTTTGCCCCGCTTGCTCAGTCTGCTTCCACCAGTCTGGTGCCCTGACTGTTCTTGGACCCACCCAGGTCACTCCTGCAGTAAAGCCTTTGCACTGCCCTGCCTGGAGAGTTCTACCCCAGGCAGTCCACTAATTTTTTCTCTCCCTTTCTTAACTAAGGTCTCTGCTCAAATAGTTTATCTAAGAGGTTTTCTTTGGCCATCCCATTTAGGATAATAGTATGACTTTGTCACCCTCTATCCTCATTACCATGTTTCTTTTTCTTCGCAGCCACAAGATACTTTTATTTATTCCCCCAGAATGTAATCCTTGAGGGTAAGGACTTTGTTTTTCAACAGCCTAGACCACCGTCTGGTACTTAATAATTGCTCAATGAATATTTGTTAAAAACATGAATGAGAGGCTGTTATATTTAATGTTCTGTTCCTATTAACAGCATTAAGAACAAGTAGGACTTCAAGCTCTAAAAGAGAACATGACTGTTCCTCTAGCTGAAAACACTGGATAAAATAAAAATGTAAAAATATTTTTTAAGTGTACCTTAGTAAGCATACTTAGCATACCCAGAGGCCAAAGCCAAGGTGGAAGTGGAAAATAAAAGAAGGAAAAGGAGCAGAAAGATGGCTTTTGCCATGAGGGCATTTGTTACCTAGACAATCTTAATTTAGGTTTTCATGGCTTTGGTAAAATAAAGAGAATGAAGACAAAGCCCAGGACCTTCCCAAGGTAGGAATGTAATAGTAGGTTCTCCCCCAATTCATTTGGAACCCCAAAGAGTTAGACCTTCATTTTAAAAGGTGACCTGGAAATAACCACAACTCTACCCCCATCATTAGAGACTAAAAGGACTTGTGGTTCTTGAACTTTGTACCAGAAGGGAAAACAAAAATGTGTCCAGATAACTCATAATCACAACATAGCCTGCAAATGCATGGAGGCCCAAATGCACACAACCTGAGTAGTCTGAAGCATCTCAAACTGAAATTTTACTTTAAAGGGATGTTAAGCAGGCATCGGCAGATGTTGCTCTTACCTGTAGGAATCCACCTTTAGCCCAGTCTGCAAATAATTCTGAGAGTCAAAGTCTAAAAAATAAAGCTCACATTCAGAAAAGTGGAGACGAGTGGGAGACACAACGCAAAGATTAGTGGAAAGGCTTCAGGTACTGGAATTACCAGGCACAGAATAGAAAATACATTTATGATGTTTAAAGAAAGGAAGGGACTGAACATATGAATAAAGGGTAAAAGACTATTTAAAATGTCCACCCATATTTGGAAAAATACCAGATTAAACATCTACAACTAGAAATCGAAGGGATTAACAGCAGATGAAATATAGCTGATAAAAGAATTAGTAAGAAGATTGAAGAAATTGTCTCCAAATGAATCATTGGGAGAGAAAGAAGGAAAAAAAGAGAAAATCTCAAACACAGCCAGAGAAAAAAGACTGATGACCTTCATAGGAATGGCAATGAGATTGTCAGATGATTCAACCGTGAAAGACCCAAAGCCACACAGCTAGTAATTAGTAAAGCCAGGATTTGGACCCAGCGGGTCTGGCTTCCGAGCCCCATGCACTGAATTACTATCTATACTCCTTTCTGGTGTGGTGTTGGGAACTAAATTATTTAAGGAAATTTTACAAATAAAATTGGAACAATGAAGTTGTATACAAATTATTTAGGAAGTTCTGGCTATTCTTAAAACTCTTAACTCCTCATAACATGTGTTATGTTTGTAGATAGTAATTCTCCCTTAGCCTTGCACCAAGACTAATCTGGTGTCTTTTTAATTTTTTCCCCTCCCAAATCAAGCAAATAATGTGGGATTGACTTCAGTTTTAGGAGGTGTGGATGGAACTGTTGAAAATAATGTTTCTAGCCCACTGGTAGTTTAATTATTCCACTAAACTGACTCTAAACATTTATCATTATCTTTCTGAAAAAATTGTAGCTCTTTTCCTGCAGGTGGCATTATGCGATTTTTAAAATACTGTTTTTTCCTTTTGGGCCCTGACTGATAATTGCTTAATTGATCTGTGATGACACTTTAAAATTCTAAATTCAATTTCATTAATACTACCAAATGTTTTTAATAATTAAAAATTTTTTTAATGTTTATTTATTTTTGAGAGAGAGAGAGACAGAGCATGAACGGGAGAGAAGCAGCCAGAGAGGGAAACACAGAATTTGAAGCAGGCTCCAGGCTCCGAGCTGTCAGCACAGAGCCTGATGCAGGGTTCAAACTCATGAACTGTGAGATCACGACCTGAGCTGAAGTGGGATGCTTAATCGACTGAGCCACACAGGTGTCCCGATATTACCAGATATTGTATTGAGCGTGTTGGGGATTTTTGTGAGAGTCAAAGATATTGTGGTGAGTTTTTAACATAAATTCAGAAATATTTCAAGCATACAGAAAACATTTTATATAACATATACTTAGTATCTAGATTGATTAAATGTTAATATTTCGCTACATTTGCTACCATTCTCTGTCTTTAAAAAAATAAAATACAATAGCTTTAGCTACCGTTTTCTTTCCATCCTTTCCAGGAGAAATGTCTGTTCTGAACTTAATGTGACTTTCTTTCCCATTTTTTTTTTTTTTTTT